GCCAGCAGATTTATTAAATGATGACGAAACTATAAGGGAAATCTTGAGAACAATATATTCTATAGAGCAAGAACTAGAAACCAATCACAGCAATATTACTTCTAATGAACATTACCAGGTGGAATCCTTACTGCACCATCTAACTAACTTTTCTATGGAAAATCCTCTCTTGGAGTCAGAAAGAATAGCTATTTTTAAATGGTCAAACTCTTGAAGGCGCTGGTTACGGGAACAATTACAAGCGACCGAAAAACTTTTGAAAAGTCCAGGCCACACAGCGAGATGGATTGTTAAATATCTGTAATAATTCTCAGAAAATTCTAAAATGAGGTATACATAATGAACGGAAAAAGGTATCCCTACCGAAATTATTGATACTAATTATAATTTGATTTCTGACTCTGATTAAAATTTTGCCAAATTGCACACAATTTATAAATAGTTGTACAATATTTCTGATTCTGCTGAACTTATTGATTCTTTCGGTCCTTTGTTAACTGTACGTAGTAACGAACCTAATTTTCCTATTAAAAAGAAAAAGAAAGAACAAACTATTTCTCGTTCCAAACTAATCAAGACAGAAGGTAAAGATGAAATTTATAGATCTGAGTTAAGTATTCCAGCGTGTTTAGTTATTTTATTCGATATGTCTATATTGTGTTATGATAATAGAGTAGTACCGAACATTTGGGGTCACAATATCATTAACGCTATATTGTGTTATGATAATAGAGAAGTACCGCACATTTGGGGTCACAATATCATTAACGCTATATTGTGTTATGATAATAGAGAAGTACCGCACATTTGGGGTCACAATATCATTAACGCTATATTGTGTTATGATAATAGAGAAGTACCGCACATTTGGGGTCTCAATATCATTAACGCTATATTGAAAACCTGGAAAGCTCCAATGTCACCATTAGTTACAGAGGGATCTCTTTGATACCTATCACATGTAAAATATATGCAGATATTCTAAACCAGCGTTTACTCTACTTGATTGGGGCGATCGACGGAGACCAGGTGACTCAATTGGTCAGAACGTCTGGTAAGAGTTCGAAGGTCCTAAGTTCAATCCTGTTCTGGCGGCGTTATATTTTCCTTCTCCTGTTACAGAGGTGCCGGGGTCAAGAGTTAGGGCGCCTGGCAAGGGGGAATACGGAACCAGAGTTGTAAATACCGTTATTTTCTTAGGCAAAGGTTTATAAATATGAACACTCGATCGCCGGTGATCAGGTAGTTTAGTTGGTCAGATAGTCCGTCTAGACTTCGGAGTTCCAGGGTTTCGAATCCCCGTCTGTGACCGTTCCCCTCTCCTGTTATAACAGTATGTCTGTAAGTTTGAAGTGATCAGTTACAACAAATGTTGTTTTCACACTACATGTCAGTATTAATCATCTAATCTCCCCGGAATTCATGTACGCATGCATTATTGTGAAACGGTATCACCTCTGTTTGCATAATCTCGTAAACACACTTTTTTGTCAAAATTCAAAAGTTCGCAAATGAGTGTTATTAGATGTAGTGATTATAATACATAATAATCTTGTAAGCAGTATATTAACTGGCTATTGGCTGTTTCATTTAGTGACTTTTGCCTTGTATTTGAGAAATTAGTAAAAAATAGTAGTATCAATTTAGAGTGGGTTTGTCGTGTGTCGGAGGTGAATGTCTGCCGTTATCAGTAGTGATCGGTGTTGACAGGCGGCGATCTGGTATGTTATATATGTTAGTGACAGTCCGTTAAAAATGCGACTACCAGGCATGTCAAGCTGTTAATGTCAAAACCCTTTATATTATTATTTTGGTTGTGACATATACTTCTAACCTAAATGTATACGCTTTTCACGATTGTGACAATTTTTACGTGAAGTTTGACCGTAACATGTGCTATTCAACTCCCGATTGCGATTAAATACTTTCGCATTCCAGAGAGAGGATTAACGAAAATGGCGTCCCGTTTAGATACTATCATATATATCAACAAAAATCAAGAAAGGAATTCTTCATAATACATAGAAACAAGGGATACATAGAAACAAGGGATACATAGAAACAAGGGATGCAAAACCGTTACTGGAGCTACAAATATATTAAATTATAGTAAAATAACAACACATGAATGATTTTCACGGAAACCTTGAAAAAAACCCACTAGAACTAGACAAAATATAGTCATTGACTATTATGTGAAATTGTATTCTAAGCTTTGACTTTGTAACGAAAGAGATAACTCTAAAGTTTAATATAGGGATAGCTTGTTTTGTTTTGTTTCGATAATACTACCTCAACTAGTGGATCCCACTTTCCATGTTTGAAAGTAAAAGTATTACTACACTTGTATGACAGATGGAAATATGTAAGTCAGCCGATACTTTAATTTAGCATTATATTTAGTTTTCAACCTAGTTATCATCATAGAGTATTTCATTGTCTTTAGGAGAAGTGGGAACAGGTAAGCTGCTCTAAAATGATAACACGTAACAAATACAGGAAAAATATGTTAATTAATTTATTTATCTATTTATTAAAGCTTAACAATATACATGTATAATAGACATGACTTTAGTATGCTGTCATATGATCCCTATATAAATATATCAATGGGGCATGTTTGTCACATACATTTAATGGTCATCCACATAATAGCCACTAAACAGTAATATATAGATGCTGTATTAACGTCTGTGTATACACCATTCCACTGTATTAACGTCTGTGTATACACCATTCCACTGTATTAACGTCTGTGTATACACCATTCCACTGTATTAACGTCTGTGTATACACCATTCCACTGTATTAACGTCTGTGTATACACCATTCCACTGTATTAACGTCTGTGTATACACCATTCCACTGTATTAACGTCTGTGTATACACCATTCCACTGTATTAACGTCTGTGTATACACCATTCCACTGTATTAACGTCTGTGTATACACCATTCCACTGTATTAACGTCTGTGTATACACCATTCCACTGTATTAACGTCTGTGTATACACCATTCCACTGTATTAACGTCTGTGTATACACCATTCCACTGTATTAACGTCTGTGTATACACCATTCCACTGTATTAACGTCTGTGTATACACCATTCCACTGTATTAACGTCTGTGTATACACCATTCCACTGTATTAACGTCTGTGTATACACCATTCCACTGTATTAACGTCTGTGTATACACCATTCCACTGTATTAACGTCTGTGTATACACCATTCCACTGTATTAACGTCTGTGTATACACCATTCCACTGTATTAACGTCTGTGTATACACCATTCCACTGTATTAACGTCTGTGTATACACCATTCCACTGTATTAACGTCTGTGTATACACCATTCCACTGTATTAACGTCTGTGTATACACCATTCCACTGTATTAACGTCTGTGTATACACCATTCCACTGTATTAACGTCTGTGTATACACCATTCCACTGTATTAACGTCTGTGTATACACCATTCCACTGTATTAACGTCTGTGTATACACCATTCCACTGTATTAACGTCTGTGTATACACCATTCCACTGTATTAACGTCTGTGTATACACCATTCCACTGTATTAACGTCTGTGTATACACCATTCCACTGTATTAACGTCTGTGTATACACCATTCCACTGTATTAACGTCTGTGTATACACCATTCCACTGTATTAACGTCTGTGTATACACCATTCCACTGTATTAACGTCTGTGTATACACCATTCCACTGTATTAACGTCTGTGTATACACCATTCCACTGTATTAACGTCTGTGTATACACCATTCCACTGTATTAACGTCTGTGTATACACCATTCCACTGTATTAACGTCTGTGTATACACCATTCCACTGTATTAACGTCTGTGTATACACCATTCCACTGTATTAACGTCTGTGTATACACCATTCCACTGTATTAACGTCTGTGTATACACCATTCCACTGTATTAACGTCTGTGTATACACCATTCCACTGTATTAACGTCTGTGTATACACCATTCCACTGTATTAACGTCTGTGTATACACCATTCCACTGTATTAACGTCTGTGTATACACCATTCCACTGTATTAACGTCTGTGTATACACCATTCCACTGTATTAACGTCTGTGTATACACCATTCCACTGTATTAACGTCTGTGTATACACCATTCCACTGTATTAACGTCTGTGTATACACCATTCCACTGTATTAACGTCTGTGTATACACCATTCCACTGTATTAACGTCTGTGTATACACCATTCCGCTGTATTAACGTCTGTGTATACACCATTCCGCTGTATTAACGTCTGTGTATACACCATTTCACTGTATTAACGTCTGTGTATACACCATTCCACTGTATTTGTAGGTTAATACTGACGTTATAATAGACTAATGCTAAAGAACTGTCTCTACAATAAACTGCGACAGCTGGACGCTACTAGTCATTCAACACATTCTTAACTCGAATTGAAAACCTGCTATCCCAAAAAATATATAGAATTACATATAATGTACCCAGTTGCATTTAACATAAAACAGTAAAACAATATATAATATACGGCAGGTCAGTATGCTAAAGATTGTGGAAGTTAATTTTTCATTTCCTGCCACATGGCTTTTCTATTCCATTCGTCGTCTTTGAAAATTACATACTTAAAGCTAAATAATACTGTCTACATCTATTTTATATGAAATCAACGCAATGAGCCGTATATAATTAATTAATGAAAGCAACCACATACGTATACGACAACAAAAACATGTTGGCGATTTTCATCTATTGTATAGGAAATGGTAACACATTTCTGTCACACTACCAAACAGTAACACATGGTATTGTCTTCATTTAACATGGCGTCACATCAATCAATCGTCCTTATGGCCATGCCGCTAACGGTAAATAATAATACACCGGGAAATGTTTCTCATAACAGTTGATAAAATGGTATGATCAGTCCTTCACAAAGGAATTGTACAACAGATATATAAATAGACTCAGACTATATATCTTGTTTCTTTTAATCGAATGGAATGAACTTTGTTCCATGCTAATGAGGGCGAAAATGAATATTCATTGCATGAGTTGAAATATAATCAGTTCTCATAAAAAGGAACAAGGAAGGTTTCGTCAATAACACCGAATCAACTTTGTGGTCACGACAAATGTCATACTCTGCCAGGGAAAAGACAAAACAAATTAGTTTATTATATTTATACTAGAGAATAAAGATAAAATGAAAAATAATATGTATTCTCCCTGTTTCGAAAATGTCTTAAAGCACCTTTATCTTTAAAAATAATTATGTACAAAGAAATTTTATGCTAAAAATTGATTCTTGTCTTCCCCGGGCATTTTATTTTAATATTAAAGAGTGTGACTAAGAAGAAATGTTAGTACATCTTATTTTCCTTTTAATATGCACCACACTATCTATGTTTTTAATTTATTACCATATGCTGCAAACATGTAAAAATATCAACAGTTTCTAGTTGAATATCAAACACGTTTCACTAGTATAGTATACAATCACTGCACTGTATCAAAAGCATTCCAAACTTATACAATGTATCTCTCTCAAACTGCCGCCAATAGATAACCAAGCCTTATATGGGATCAAACACTGGTATCTACTTCGGCGTATACGACGTTATCAGTGTCTACTTTAGGTTTAGGACTGACAGGAGGTGGGCGTGACTTCGAACGTGACTGTGGGCGTGACGCCGAACGTGACTGTGGGCGTGACGTTCTGTCCTGGACACTCACTTCCGCGTACACTAACCCGTCCGGGTTTTGATACCGCGAGGGTCGATTGTCATCTATCTCACCCGTCTTATTTTGATTCTTTGATTTGTTAACGACAGCATAAACATCCCCCTGTGGAGATTCCTCTAGATCTAATTTCTCCGTACCAGTAGCAGCCATAGTAGAACGTGTCTCTGGTTTTTGTACCTGCGCGTACATGTCCCCGGTCCCCGTAACGATGTAGTTGGTGTCCGGATATCGTGGTCCGGCCGATACGTAGAGCGAGTTGTGAGTTATAGTGTCCCCGTCATTATTCACGTACCTTTTGTTGGTAGAGGTGTTAGCGTACGGATGGATGTCATCAGAAAGGCCTCCATTTGTATTACCGTAGGACAGGTCTCCATTGTCTGAAGTCTGCTTATCGTCTGGTTTTCTTTTCCTATTTTATAAAAAAAAAATTCAGCGTTATTAGAAATTGTTTATCTTAATGCAATGATAGCAATAAATCGCTGGTCACATATAACACAGCTGATGGAATCGTTGTAGCGGGGACAAGTTACAATGTTGTTGTAGGAAAATCGATGAACAGAAGTACAGCAGGCTAATTATAATAACCCATCTATTTATTGAAATCATAACATAGTGTAGGTCTATCTCTTGTTCTTACTCAGATGGATTCTACTTAGGAAAACGTGTGTGCTTTGATAATCCAAATGTTCGTTTGAAAACAACACTAATTACAACTAATAATGCATTTAAGCTTAATCTCTATGACAGTTAGATCGTACAGTAGCCTACAACATATCTATAAATATTTACCCATATAGGCAAAGCGTGTTGCTCAATCCTTTTGTTTAATAAATAAAATATATTTGAAATGAAAAATATATTTACCCGTTCTTCAATTGGTATTGCATTAGCACCGCACATTAATTTAAGCTTTTACTCATACAGTGTATTATAACAAATAGCTGCTATACATAGAAAGACCATTTACGGTTACATACGTCATAACAATTAGCTATCACATAGATAATCATATGTTACTGTTTTACTATAAGTAGTTACAATCAGCTGCTATATAGGTATATTGATATAAATGGTTTACAGTAGTTGATGAACGTAGTACCTACCGAATGATGACGACGATGACGACGATGATAATGATCAGTAACAACCCTCCACCGCCCGCTGCTCCAGCAATTACCCCAACTGGAACCATAACAACAAGTGGAATATTCATAATTTTGCTGAAAGAAACAATTTTCTTCATGTTGTAAGATTTTTGTATGCGTTCCTAAAGTATTCAAAATATTTTTTCATGAATAACCTCATTTCAAACACGATATATATATACAGTTTGTATTTACATTTGCGCTGCAACCCACTATATGAACACTACCAGCAGAAATGCATTTCATTTTCAGAACAAAAACTCTCGTGGCGTAACATGTGGTGTACTTATGACGTCATAGATTAACCAATGAGCGCTTCGGATGTCCCTGCGTCACTACGGTTAGTTATTGGCGCCAATTTTATTTAAATAGGGCTGTTCCGTCAATGTCGTTTAAAGGACGACACATATACAAAACGCAGTAAATAAATTAACTATTTAAGAACAAATAAATAAAACTATACAATTGTTATATAGTAACTATATATGTAAATATATGGATTGAACGACGGTTTTTTTCCTCGTTTTTTTTCATGCCGGTATGAACGCAAATCGGTTACATCCATATTAAACATGAAGCCTTAGCGGGCTGCATGCAATATGGATGTAACCGATTTTTGGGCTGCATGTTTAATATGGATGTTACCAAATTTGCGTTCACACCGGCAAGGAAATTAAAAGAAAAACGCCGTTCAATCCCTTTTTAGTATCAATGATGAATTCTACCGTTGAATCTATAAAATACAAACGTGTTTCAAAGACAAAGCTAATGGAAAACATCATGGTCCTTTTCGAATATGTTCGACTGCCATTGTTGCATTTACCCAGCCAAGCACGAGAAATGACTTCCAGCAAATCGGTGTGCGTCTTCCCGTGGCTATATGGCACAGTTTTGTTCTGTATTCATATTTAAACGATTTGGGTTGAGGATTTTTCCTAGATTATAATCTATGATACAGAAATTACAGATTGATTTCTTCTTTAATCAGATTTATCTGTTAGTGTTAACTAGGCATTTTTTGCAGCGAAATTTGAAATATGTGATTTTAGAACAATGTCGTGTTACATAATATTTCATCACTTCTAAAAATAGTAACCTGAAATCTGTCAGTATAATTGATATGTTAAGTACTGTTTCTATCAAATACCAAATTAATGGGATTTTATTTATTAAAAATATCAATCACAATATTCGTTCGAACAGTTACAATATGAATTTCCTGTGCAACGAAAACCTTTTTTACTCTTCCATCAAGAGTAGATAGTAGAAAGTTTGAAAAAGCCTTCGATTCTGTTTCTTGGAACTTTATAGCAAAAACCCTAAAATATTTCAAATTTGGCCCAACTATAATTAATTGGATAAAACTGTTTCAACAAAAAATTCACTCAGCAGCAAACATAGGGGGAAACTTATCACATTTTTTCAGCAAAGAACGTGGCTGTCGTCAAGGAGATCCTGTATCTTCTTATATTTTTATTTTATGTGCAGAAATTTTATCGATACTTTTAAGAAATAACAATAACATTAAGGGGATATTTGTACGGGATAATGAAATTCTGTTATCACAATTTGCAGATGATACATNAAAAAACTTATAAAACTAAAATCTCTTATATCATCATGGAATAGACGAGTACTTACACCAATAGGTAAAATATCAGTTATTAAAACACTACTTATATCACAGTTTAACCATTTATTTATAGCACTACCAAATCCTGATGAAACATATATAAGAAAAATTAATAGTGTACTGTATGAATTTTTGTGGAATGGTAAACCAGATAAAATAAAGAGAGATGTGATAATTAAAAGTTATGAAGAAGGTGGTCTGAAAATGATACATTTAAAATCTTTTATAACAGCTCTTAAAGCAACATGGATAAGACGGGTATATAAAGAAGAAGGAAATTGGGCTCTTATTTTAGAAACTTATTTTGATAAAGAAACATTAGCTAACTGTGGGCTTGAAAAATTGAAAGAAGAATCTAAACGTTGTAGTAACCTCTTTTGGAAAGATGTCTTAGAAGCATGGTACAATACTATTATCTCTAGCAATATATACAATACAAATATACGTGAAAACCCTCTGTGGTTCAATAGTGAAATTAAAATTGACAGAAAATTTACATTCAAAAATTCATGGTTTAAAAAGGGAGTACAATTTGTATATAACGTTATTAAACAGGATGGATCACTCTACCACTTTGAAGAATTTCAAGAAAAATATAACAGAAATACTAATTTTTTGACATACCAAGGCCTAAAGAATGCTGTGCATCATTTCATAAGAAAAAATCATCACATTTTTACTTCAGAAAAAACGGTTATCTTTCCAAATATACCTATCAATCTTAAGTTAATACTTAAAAAAAGAAAGGAGCACAAGACATATATTTAATGTTAATTAAAAATAATGTTGAACCTACTGCTCAAAGAAAATGGATATTAAATGATAATATAGATGATGAAACATGGAAAAAATATATGAATGTCCTTTTAAAACCACCACCAACTCCAAACTACAGTGGCTACAGTACAGAATAAACCACAGAATTCTCACTACAAACACATTTTCATTCAAAATCGGCAAATCACACAATAACCTTTGCACTTTCTGTAAAATTCACCCTGAAACAATAGTTCATATGCTATGGGATTGCGAAAAAATTGATAGGCTAATTGACGAGCTGAAAACAAATATTATAACTAAAAACCTTACACTAAGATTTGAAAAACAAGAATTCCTTTTTGGTAAACATACATATAACCATACAAAGTTTTATATAGAAAACATCATAATACTACTTATAAAACAATACATATATAAAACTAAATGCCTAGAAATTGACCTTAATCTGACTAGTCTCAAAAACCATATAAAATTTGAATTAAAAGCACAAAAGATCCTTGTGTATAAACAGAATAAATTAATAAATAAGAATGAGTTAAACCATCAAATAGATAACTGGATGCAATTATAATATGACTATATATATATATATATGACATATTTGTTCTATACATATATACATCTATTGTACTTTATCGTCTCCTCACTGTAATAATAATCATCAAATATTTCATACATTTTAATTCGCCAGGCTTAAGTTAAAATATAATGACCTAGGAGTGCTCTCCATCCCCTGTAATGTTTTGTGGTTGTTGTTTTTTTGTTTTTTTTTTTCTGTTTCAGTTTATTTGGTTTTTCTCTTGTGTGTTTGATGTCATAGGTTTATATATCTTGTTTTTGCATCAGTGTCTCAGTGTTTGTCTTTATGTATGTACATGACATTGGCAATTTTTTGCTTAATATCTGCTTATGTGTTAATAATAATATCTTATATGATGACGATGATGATGTCTGATGATGATGATGATCTTTGTTTAATATGTATGGACAATCATGTACTTAGGAACAATGTCATATATGTTTTGTCTTGTCTTGAAAAAAAAATGAAAAAATAATAAAAATAAATAAAATTAAAAAAAGAGTAGCTAGTGCTGATTAAGTTTTAATAACTTTTTGTTGAGTAAAGCTACCGTGCGTTTAACCTATACAATTTAACTTTAGTAGCACGTGAAATGGGACTCTGTGATAAGTATTCAACGATATTTTCAATGACAAATCTCGTTCAGTTGTTAACTAACGCTAAGAGTACGAAATTTTACAGACAATGTATATTGAGGCTCATATTGAACAGCTATGAATTTTGAAAGAATCCTTTCTTACGGTTTCGTCAAATAGATTTCTCACATGCTAAACGGCATGGTTAGACTGATTTGCATAATGTGTATATTCCCATGTTATTTTATGATATAGATATTCTTGATTGCTTTGTTATGCAGTAGATATCCCCATGTCGTATTTTGCTTATTAATCTCCTGTCATGTTATATCATATGTTGTGAAATTTAAACCTATATTGAAGGCGTCGTAAATTTGTGACGGCAAGTCAGCGTCCGTGAAGACAATTTGTCAATGGTCTAATACGACTAATACATATATATATGGTTTTCACAAACATTTGCATCACTCTGTAACGTGATAAAATGGTCTTGTTCAAAATTATATTTATATATTGAAAAAATGCAAAATAAAGTACAGTTCCCATTGGGCGGCCTGTGGTAATAGTTTGTAGAAAACCGATTTAACAACCATAAATAATTTTAAGCAGCATGTGATATGAACGACCAATGGTAGTGTACTTACCGTCACTCCCTGTCTGTTCCCCTGTCGTCGCTGTATCACCTCCTGTGGAACTGACCGATGGTGGATGCGTAGGGGTCGGAGTGGATGTTGTCTGGCTAACGTGTGTCGATGTTAAAGGTTTTGTCGTTGTTGTTGTCGTCGGTGTCGTTGTTGTTGTCGTCGGTGTCGTTGTTGTTGTCGTCGGTGTCGTTGTTGTTGTCGTCGTCGACGATGTCGATGTTGTTGAAGTTTTAGTTGAGGATCTGTTGGATTTACCCTGTTGTTCGTTACAGGTAACGATGATGTCTAAATTTGTACTTCCTACAGAATGCATAGAGACAATCTGAATATAATAGTGCTTAATATGTCTTGTTACTGACAAATATATACGGTCGCCGTAGGGAATGAACAATAATTATGGGAGGATATACTTTTTTCTATTTTTGGGAAATGTTAAATAATCTAAAGCTCAACTTTTAAAACACGGTAGTTTCAAGAAAACATCATGTCTGAAGCGCTATAATTTATCACACATTAAAAGAAGGTAAATATATTTTAATTTGATATGGTCACACAGATTAAATGTTTGCAAACGATTACGTGTATTGGTATATCAACCAAGCTTTTTCTCAGCAACCGACATAATGAATGAATTCGCGATAGATAATTATTTATTAGAATTGATTTATTAAAATTAGTTAAATAAGCCTTACATCTTAACGATTTAAACAAATAACAAAAGATGCGTATACCTTGTAAAGAAACTAATATACAGTGCCCTGATATCCACGATGTACTGACGTCAGCCCGTGATAGCGTCAGTGTCAACATGTCTGATGTGCTGAAATTGTTTGTCAAAGTGGCAGGGATTGGGTTGCAATCAGTTTTAGTAAAACTACTTGATTTAGTAGAATTGATCACAAGTATACTCCCACAGTTCTGTAATGGTGCTACACGCGGGTATTCCTCCACTACGACTGATGTTGTTGTAGATGATGCTGATTCTGTACCCAGGGTAACGGTACAGGTACAGCTGTATACATCCAGGCCTCCAGTACCCCAAGTGTCTATCACCACACGTGTGTTTTTCAGTGTTCCACTTTTACACATCGTTTTAACTGTAGTTACAAATAATACGCATGTTAATCTACTCAATGCCAAATTGATAGCGAGGAATGAGTATTTTAGAGAATATATCGCCCACGATGCTTTCTAATGTAAATGACAACGAATTACACAAAAAAATGGCGATTGGAGGATTTGGAAGGATAATGTAATCCATTTTCACACCTTTTCTGAGCTAAATCTGAAAGCATTTTGTTTTTAAAATCAACGCACTATAAAAAGAAAATTATGGAAAGATTTCAAAAACGCAAAAAAACTTGAGAAGATAATTTTAACTTTATAATCCTAAATAATTACTCAAAATGCAACATCACGGTCAATGTCAGTTGCTCTTATACAGAATGTCATATTATCTAAATCATATTTACTTACTTAGCATCAGTTGAGGTGTTGCCCAACAAATGAACAAATACGTTATATACTTAAAATTTGATATAGTGATACATTACCATGGAAAAAGTTGTCCAGTTCAGTTCGGTCAGTACATGCCGTCGTATTGATACCTATAATAGATAGTACAGTTGTACACAGATAAACCATAACAAAACACAGATGTTTATGATGACGCATTTTAATGTTTTTTACTCAGGTGCTAAATTTAGAATTATAAGTTTATGACTCAACTTAGTTGTTTTTGTGCTCTGTACAAATTAAAAGAAACTATCCAAGGTACTCTATATGCAACACAATAAAGATAGGATACTTTCGCAATAACAAATGCATATACATGTACATATGACAGCTACATAATCTAATGTTATCTAAATAAGTCGAAATAATTACAGAAATACAATATAGGAAGACAATACATTAGACTTGGCAAAACGTGTATATGTATTTCATGAAGTTCAACCATATTAAAGCTGAAATAATTTTTAAAACACGAAGACAATAACGCGTTGTTTATGTACATAAACTTATGAATTACATTATATACGTAAAATTAGAGCATAACCATCGACCACTGCTGTAAGTCATACTGAAACGTTAAGGTAACAGTAGCATGATTTGGTTGAGTAGATGGATTACCAAACGTATATGTGATCTTACGATCCTATCAGCCATGAATATTGCCTTGTTCCTGTGCTATGATACCAATGACAGAAATATATACAGGATTAACAATTATTGTTGTTGTGCTGACGTTACTTTCGTTTTAAAGCTTCCTTCACCAGATTATCTCATTGACCTTTTGGTTAAATGGCTTTGTTTAGGTAGTGTGGACTATTCAGCATACGTTGACAATAACCGGAAATAAATTGGGACAAATATAAATACAAAATACGTTTAAAGCTAAAGCTAAACTGCGTACACAACTAACAACTAATGAGGTAAGGCGATATTACAGATATGTTGTGTTGAACCAGAGTGTACACACCGTAGAGTTACTAAGACAGTTTTGTATGCGGCGAAAACAGTTCAATTGTCTTTATTTTCTTAATACTTGATATAATTCAACATGCTGCTGTTAATGTATAAGTTAACACTGCCAAACAATAATTAAATTTGTATAACTTTGTATAAAGTTTCTAGCGTTTGCTTCCGCTTAAGTCTTACCTTCAAAGTACATGTGTATGATCAGCAACATGTATGTAAGTCCCAGTAGGCTGAAGCTGTCTCGTCTGCCTCTCATGGTGTAACTAGATGTTCAATCACAGAAAACTGTAATGTCACGTTAGGTCCAGACACCAATTCGATTTCATTTTCTGACTTTATCGGGCTGTGTTATAGCTGTGTGAAAGGAGGAAGTTAAATAACTAAATATAGCAGTGTGAGGTAGAACCGGTTAAACGTCTCTGGACGGACGACATGCTGTATAAACTCAGTGGAGCAGTGAAACGTCAACACACTGGTGTGACCTCTTGTTTTGTTAGTGTGCACAGCTGATTGTATTCGTATTAAATTATGGTGTTCGTGGGAAATGATCGCAATTATAGAGAGTGAAAGACGTACTTCAGAAACTTTGATAATTGAATAAAACACGGAAAGAGATCCTCCATTTCGTGGTTAGTGTTATTAAACCTACATACTATTGGGGGGTTACATCGACAACCGTCATTATATCTTTGGGTAGACAATGGCTAGCTGAAATATCTAACATCAGGTTTTTCTGCACGTTTTGTCTTGTTGAAATGATGACGTAAGAGTTGATAAAAGTTTAACTTTGAAATTTAATAAGAGATAACAGAGTCTAGAACCTAAGTGATTTACAAAACATCATATCACAGTTAATTACCTGTACGTACAATAAAGGTACCTAAGCTTTGAGTGACAGGTGTCACTAATTGTAAGATCAAATACCACAAGGTAAAGGCTATTACACTAATCCTGTTGCGTAATGTGATGGACAATAGGAATTAGTTACATTTGTATGAAAGTAAGTTTACAGAGAGTACGTGCTGAGGGATATAAAAACTTAACACATGAGTCTTATCTCAAATGTCACAAAGGATATATAGTAATTACAATTAAGGATAATGCTACACGTATATAGCCAAATTCTTGAGTTGTTAGATATGAACAATTCGAAATATAAATTTAATAATAGATGGTAAGATTAAAGTTTTTTATTTTTACACAATTAATTTCGGTACTAATTTATCACAAAATTTCTGTGTGATATATCAATCAGACGCCATCCTTCATTCTTGTATAAAGTGACAAACAACCTATAAATAGAAACAGGACAGACTATAATACATTTGCTGGAAGTTTTGATTCAATTAAAATTGTGCAATTTGTATTACCTTAACACGAAAAAGATATATCGGAAATAAAAATTCAGATGCCATAACGTTGCGGAACTATTTGTCCCCGACATTCACCTGGTCTGCCACGTCAGGTAAAACCCCGTTTACACTTGCCAGTCTACGAGTTTTATCAACAATACATAACATTAGACGCGGGTAATTTGTTGTACACAATTTAAATAGAATTAAAACTTACAATGATTACCGTGCTTACTTGTCAATGATCTACCACCATTAGCTGAACAATCTCTGTCAATCACTTGTTACACGATAATTACACAAAGGAGAAGAGATGTGTACCCGAGTGTGGGCCACCCTGCTAGGCTGTATGTATTTGTTCATTCAATTCTGGCTGTACTACCTAAATGGTGTTTACTATCGTGTTTATAGCGTCATAAAATATGATTCCTTTCAATCCATGAAGGATATTATGAAATAGGTGAGACCTAGTCAGCGGGCACATATGAAAATACAGTTTTCTGCATAATTTAACTGTTTCATTTTATGTACAGTCGGTAGAATAGTTAGAGTCCAATCCTTGCATAATTCAATGGTGGTACCATTCTATATACTAGTATATATATATATTGGGAGGGAGGGGGGGGGGGGTAGCTAAGGATTCCTCATCCCTCCCCAAACCTCTGCCAGCCTAAAGGATTTTCTTTCAAAATATTGGGCAGACAGGGGCTAGTTTGGCCCATTTTTTTTTTTTTATTAAAGTAGGTATGGACAGCATTTGTTAAGATGTATGTGTATTAGAGAAATGCCATGCCCTTCATAAAACTTAAACAAAATGGCAAACATGTCCGCGTTTGAAAAGTTATTTAACTCTTTACTGTGGGAAGAGTGTATGGCCGAATGGTAAGTTTGGGGAGGATGTCAGGTAAGTTCCGCCCACATTGAAATTAGCATAATTATGACGTCATAAAGCATGCAACGTCATATTTTCCGGCCAATTTCACGGCTCCCCGTGAATGGCATTGGCCGAACCATCTGTATATCATAGCAATACGAAACCTCAATGCTAGGGTTTTATGAATACCATCACGTGAAGCTGTCAGTTTGTTACACGTATGACATCATTAAGTAGCATTTCGATTTACAGAAAGTTTGCAAAACTAGAAAGAAGTGAGGTCATGATTTTTGTTTCTACCCTCCCAAAAAAATAAGTTTCTCGCTTTTAGTAATCTAAAATTATAGTTTTCCCGCCATTTGTTTTCGTGTGAATGTCCTGTCCAGTGAACTGCACTGCACTGCTAAGATCCTCAAAGTTGTTAATACTTGTTCAAGACCAAAAATATCAGGGCCCGTATCCATAAAACCGTTCTCTGTGCTCAAACCAAATTTCTTGAAACTCACTTATATTATGAAAGCAATCAAAAGTCAAATGTTAACATTAACCACTTATTGTATTGTATCTGTTATTACTCTATTACATTTTTCAAGGGACAATCATTTTTTTATTTAAATATTCTGATTTATAAAATATTCTGTTTAAAAGTTATGACGTTACATGCTGGGCAGTCCTAACAATTGTAGTAAAGGCAGTTATCAGAGGATTACAAAACCCATATAGCTTAATTATCTCTTTTTTACTTATATGAACTGGACAACAAAAGGAATGGCTTTTGAATAATTTAAGAATTGATGCTTAAATTTAACAGTGATTTACTGTATGTAAATATGCAATTAGGATAATTATTACATTACGCAGTACATATTGAAGAGATTCTGCCTTTTCTCCAGTTTTAAAAGACAAAGAACATTCAAAGACACAAAAGTACAGAGGAATTGTTAAGTCTTGAAGAACAGTCGAATATCCAATAATGAATACATTCATAAAAAAGAATTTTAGCATAGGCCTTAATGTTGTGTTCTTTTTGAAACTACATGCATTTATACTGACACAGTCAGTTATAACCAGAAATATCTTCCTATCCATAATTATACTTTACTGTATATTGAATGCCGCAAATCAGTTTGTGTTTGTTGAAAAATTCAGACAGAAAATTTCTTTGTTTTTGAACTTGTGTTAAAATGACTTCAGAAGAACTTGTTAAAAGTAACATAAATGCATGAAATACATACACTACATCAAAGATATCCATAATGTGTCCATGCCTAGAATGTAGTTAAAAATTTATAAATGTGCACTGAATTGTAAGAATAAGAATAAACTTAAATTAAAATATTCTAAATAATGTGGTATAGCTGCAGAAAATTCGAGTTGGCTTCAGTTAATGTGTTGTCAACACTATATGATGACGCGTGTTAACAGTGACGTCACAGTCGCGTCACAACATGTTGTGAACGTCAATTCGGCATATTTCAATGCAAAATACGTATGCTTGGTATATATTTACGGACTTAACAGTATCAACTGATGCTATTTTTAAGCTAAGGACAAATAACCAAGCGCACGTACTACATGGAAACAATTTTCAGTTCGAGAAAAATGAAAATATCAAAATGATATATAGGACATCAAACGATTTCATCAGTTACATCGACTTGTAAAAAAATATAGAATTGTTTCTGAACATAAAAATCTGCCGGAGATACTACAAAAACACAAAGTGTTCATTGAAAATGTTGAATTAATTGTGTGTGCAACAAAAGAACATCAATGCAATCACCGATCAACGCATGTTGCCGTTTTTTGCGAGCCTGTACGACCGGAAGGACGAATTCTTTTGAAGCCATCATATAGCATAGNGACTCAGCACTAATGTAATCCCATTCAAGGTAACATTGGCTCATCTCCGTCAGTATGTGTCTGTTAAGTTAAATTTAACTTAAGTTAATTTTTCTTGTACTATTATGTTTATGATGTATTTTATACATACATGTTTATGTTACTCTCTGTGTTCGGTATGCTTGTCATGCGAGATCACTCTCCAAATACGTATGCAATAGGTATGTTTTGTAACCATGTATACCTTGGCATTCTGTCGTTAAGTAAAGAAAAACATACTTTGGCTAAAAGCGAATGTTATCGTTAAACACCTTTCATATGTATTTCATGTATCATTTCGAATGCAAAGAAAAGCATGCCTAGACTGAAAAATAATTATTACTTATACTTCTGTGTGTGTGTGCGTGTGTGTGTGTGTGTGTGTCTGTCTGTCTGTCTGTCTGTGTCTGTATGTCTGTCTGTCTGTATAATACAAGTATTATTGCTAATGGTGTAAAATGTATATTCATTAAACTTAGTAATAATTAGCATTTATGTAATCGCAATCAAGATAACATTGCCGAGGAGTTACCTCCCGTCTCTGTTAGTATGTTGCATGTCATGAGAGATCACTCTCCACATATGTATGTAATATTATGTATTATATTTATGTATGCCTATGGGTCGTAAGGCCTCCGGAATAAACTTGAATTGAATAGAACCAATTCACTCTCATGTTCCCGTACTTTCCGTACATGTGTTGCTAAAACGGCTCTCACTGCTCGGATGATCGCGAAGTGCCCGCTATTAACCATTTCACCAATTAAGATATGACTGTAAAGACATGTTGGGTGAATATTCATTTTATTCGTAAATTAATAATCCTGCGATCTACTTTTCATATTGTTGTTGTAAGCTGAGGAAAGTCTAAGTTTGACGTTGTTGTAATGATCACAGCTGCTCACAAAATATTAATGTCGTTGTTTAAAAGTAAACAAACACAAAACCTAATGAGTTTCCGTTGAAAATATTTTTCACAATTGCTATATATTACTGGTACTAACTTCAGCCCATATGATATTTTGTGTTTGTGTCAGGTTAAAGACTAATCAGAGGTGATAACTACGTCATACGTGACTGTAGACTTGAGGTTCTGTACGGGAAATTCATTTCCGTGTATACTTACCCGCCCGGATTTTAAACATCGACGTGATTAACATCCGGTAATCGCGGTTCCTGTACGGATGAACTATTTAGAAAGGTTTTAATATGATTTAAGTTTTTGGTTTAATAGGTGCGCATTGTCTGGTCTCTTTCTCTATTTTCATATTAAAGAAAAATTATCAGGAGATTTAGTTTAAACTTTGTTTTATTTCAGTTCAA